GAAAAGTATTGTTCAAAATAAACTAAGTAAATAAGAAATTAGATATTCGTAGTATACTAGCGAAAGCGAGGTTGTGATTACTTAGTCGAAATCACCCGCCTTCGATGCCCGTCATTTAGTCTATTTTTTCATAAGAGTGGGGGACGCGAGAGAATGATTTTAAGCTCTTCATTTCCCAACTCTCTTCGTTCTTCCTCAATTTGCATAGCGGACTTCAAAATGTATTTCGCGCGCCTGCTGCCTGTGTACCTCAAATCATTTGAAGCATTATAAATTCATATTCATCTTCTTCTAATGCTAGCATTTTTGCAACACTAGACTTTGAAGCCCGGGGATGTGATCGTTGAAGGAGTTCCAATGTGCAATATGTACAATAAAATGAACACTTGCAGAAATTTTTTATTTTACAAATGTCAGTATACCCTCTGTTAGGCAAATTGTTGTCAAANGAAAAGTATTGTTCAAAATAAACTAGGTAAATAAGAAATTAGATATTCGTAGTATACTAGCAAAAGCGAGGTTGTGATTACTTAGCCGAAATCACTCGCCTTCGATGCCTGTCATTTAGTCTATTTTTTCATAAGAGTGGGGGATGCGAGAGAATGATTTTAAGCTCTTCATTTCCCAACTCTTTTCGTTCTTCCTCAACTTGCATAGCGGACTTCAAAATGTATTTCGCGCGCCTATGTACCTCAAATCATTTGAAGCATTATAAATTCATATTCATCTTCTTCTAATGGTAGCATTTTTGCAACACTAGACTTTGAAGCCCGGAGATGTGATCATTGAAGGAGTTCCAATGTGCAATATGTACAATAAAATGAGCACTTGCAGAAATTTTTTATTTTACAAATGTCAGTATACCCTCGACAGCAGTCATCACCTCTTTGGCCTTTTCGGAAACTTGAGATATTTCCATTTTTCCACCATAAATACTTCACCATTTCGTGTCATTTCCTCAGCAAACAGAAAAAAAAAGAAGAAAATCATTCAACTTATACCATGATGTTCACTAAACTTTAAACTTCTTCGCAAGCCTCACTGAACTTTTCCCGTTATCACTCCATCAATCACCCTAAAAAATATGTTACTTTATTCGTTGGCGTGGCACACAGATTTTGGACGTGGGTTCTTGCGTCCGTTAAAAATGCGCCAAATCATGATCATAGTGGTCCTAGTTAGCAGAAAACGTTGTGCCAAATTTAATTAGAAAAACCAAGAAAAATGATTGAAGTACAGATTTTTTTTACCAAGAATTTGAATTCTCACTCACATAGAATAGACCCCATGTATAAAATAATGAAAACAAGAAAGTTTTCCCCAATTATTGTGTCTATTCTGTGAGTAAATTCCAGTACTTATAGCAAAGCTCAAAAACAAAACACGTTTTTCCTTCTTCAAAATCCAAATCCCCATTTCGATTTTTCCATTCTGGCCTTTGATTTTAGTTGGTTCCTTGCAGGAATCCTGACCGTTGATCCTGACAATAATGTCCTTGTGTCACGGGCAGCAGCCTTA